ACACCTGACCCGCCGGTTCACCCCATCCCCGGTCCCCGGTCCCCGGTCCGGTCAGGGTCCGGTCTCGTCTCCCTCTCCCCGAACCGGCCGGTTCGTCCCGTGTACCCGTCTCGCTGATCGCCGAACAATGCCATTCTTGTGCAGAGACCGGCCGCAGCAAACGTGAGCCGTCCGAGGTTTTATCGTCCGTCCCGCGCACGGCCTCGGTAAACGTGAGCGGACACGATATTATCGCCGAAAAACGCCGATGCTCCGACTCCATATCTGTAGAGTTTTATATGTTCCTGGAGACCACGGACGCAAAAATGCAGAAAGGGATCTAAAAAATGACAATTTAGCGGAATTGGTCTAGTCGCCCGTTCTCCGACATGAGCCTACAATCGACCATACATGAGCAAATCCTGCGCATGTGCATTGCCGCAATTCGACATTAACCTTCAAGAAGTGAGTTCTTGCCAAATGCGCACTCGATCCATAAGCCCAAATACCTACAAGATGCGACTTATCTTGTAAGGAACGCAAAGGATGTATTTTGTTTCCGGTCCGCTGGCAAGGCTGACCGCGTCTGCAGTCAGGAATGTCCTGTTTTGTCCGGAACATACGAGGCCCCTCCGGAGTCATGCACGTCTCGCTGTCCCAACACTGGATATCCCGTGAGCAGCGGGCATGAACTCAATGTTTGGATAGTTGTATCAATGTTTATGGCTCCAGCAGTTTGCAAGCCTTCCTGTAATACTTCAGCGATAAATTCCCTTCAGTTTCAACATGCCGGAGCCTTGTTAAGAATGGGCAGCGCAGACGTTTTACGTGAGTTACATTCTCTATGGCATGTCACGACGGCCAGTAGCTTATGCCCGTTTTGTAAAAGCATACAAGGTGTGGGGGAGGGAGACGCCAAACCCGGTTACCAATTAGCTGGCACCGGTGGCATTGTTGGTGGGCACCGCCATTACAAATGACAAATAACTTCAGACGCAATAGCGGTGGATGACTCCAGAGCGAAGAACTAACGCCCGATTTCGTCAGACGGACACAATACGTTGTTGAACAATACGACGTGAAAGTTACCACAGGTGTCACGGCGTAACTTACGTCGCACTTAGCCATCATTGCCAGCACATGGGATAAAACGGTGGCTGGCTAACCCAAGTTTGGCAACAACAGAGACAGTCAATATGCATGCGATCATAAATAGCTCTACGACTACCATGGCAGCCTGCCGTCTGTCCAGAGGAGGACACCCACGGCCGCCGTCACTGACGGCACAGCTACCACCGAGCTCCCGGCCGGCCCCGACCGCCCGCCACCGTGTGGCGAAACGGGTGCCAGTTCCCATCGCGGCTCAGTTTCGCGGCGGGCGGTCACTGGCAGCTGGCGAGGCGTCAGGCGCGGCGGCGGCCGCTGCGAAAACCAAGCGTCGGGGACGGGCCGAGCCGGTATCAACGCCCGTCGCCCAGTCAGACCAGGCTCAGCCAGTAACTCAGTCAACCAGACCCAGGCAGTAACTCCGTCGGTCGGATCAGACCAGGCTCAGCCAGTAACTCAGCAGGTCAGGACAGCAGTGCTCACTACCGGCAGCAGCAGCCGCAGCGGTAGCGGCAGGGCCCGTCCACCGCAGACTAAACACACCGACCGGACGGGCGCCCGGAAGACGGACGGCGACAGGGACGGCCGCTGTCCGGGCCCGTCATGTCTGTCAGCCCCCAGCCGTCCCCAGCACGGTGCAACTACCGGCGCGCCGTGAGGCTGCCGTGCTGCTCGCTCCGCCGATCCAGGGGCCGGCCGATCGGCCGCGCCCGGTCAGACGTCCGGGAAAGCGGCTGCGACGCCACGGAAAACCGAGAACCGATTAGGCGGTGGACCGTCAATTCGGGTGTCTGGGTGCGTTATCGGCCTAAAATTACGCTCGCGGCGGGCCGGCCTGCGCAGCTGACATGATTATCGGAGCGGCGCATGGGACCCGGGTAAAGCGTATCAGCCGGTCCCGCCGCCGGCAGTGTCCGAGCGGCCGAACAGGATTTCCTCACTGTATGCATATGCTACGATTTCCCGCTGATCGATGAGTGATCGTACCTGGAATGGACGCTTCCAAAATAACAGTTTGTAAGTAATAATAAGTTCGGATGCATCTAGAACAAAGCTAACATTGCTGATAGAGCCCGCCAGTCATTCGACATACCAACAGCTGTGTGCTGACCGCCGACCTTCCCTCTCCTCCCCGGAGTCATACGCCACGATCCGTCCCGCCCACTTGTGTGTGCGTCCTGGGGTGGGATCGAACCGGCCCCCGACCACGCCGTCCCGATATGGTCCGTCGGCCGGGCGGCGACCCTGAGATCGAGCCACCGGCCGAACACCTGAGCCAGGGACCAACAACCGCGATCCTAGCATACACCTGAGCTCGGCACCAACACCCGCGGCCAAGGCGAGTCCTTAGAATACTCCTGAGTCCGGGACCAACACCCGCGTCCACGATGGTCCTCGCATATGTCTGAGCTTAAGACCAGCTGCCATGACCACGAGAGTCTTCAAATACACCTGAGCTCCGAAACAGCTGCCGCGGCCCCGGGAGTCTCCAGACACACCTGAGCTTGGCCCAGGTGATTCCTCACATATGCCGATCTTGGGAACAGCTCCCGCGACCTCAGAAGTCCTCAAACACACCCCTGGTCGTCCGTTGACCGCCCTGCATTAGTGGAACACGAGCGTGACGCAACTGGGCTAAATCACCTCACCTGGCTAAGACGGAGGCTCCCACAGGCCTGTCACAAACACCCGTGGTGCGTGACCACCAGTGAAAGGCGGACGCCACCCAGGAATTACACAAACCGCGCCATCGCGCCGTGACGCAACAATGCTCCGGGAGGTGCTTACTGAAGGCACAACAGCCACTGCAAATCTGCCCGTCTCGTGTGGATCGCAACGGATATAATAACCTGTGAACACGAGACGTCTGGAGTGGAAAGCAGCCATACCAAGTGAGTTGATAAATGCATGGACAATGGACATCAAAACAACCAACAGTCTGTTGAGTATAAATAACACATTTTCTAGCGTAATCTTCAGAGATCCCCGGCGGCAGCAATGTGAGGTCAGCAGGGTCTGCGGCCGTTGGTTCCTCATACAGCGGAGGAAGCCGCTACACACGGAGGAAGTCGCCCCGATAACGCATCATACAGAGTCACAAGGCGGAGCGTCACTGTGACTGTGCTGTTTCAAAGGAAAGGAAGTCGGCAGTTCGGTGATACGTCAGAGTGCGATAGGTCAGGGCACGTGGCACCAGCGCTCAGCCATTTCTTGTGAAGCTAACACCACACAGACTTCCTCTCGTTGCTGTATCGCCCCTCCCGTCCTCCCCAGCCCCTCCCGTCCTCTGCCACCCACCGCGCTGTGCCCACGCCAGGCACCGGTCATCGCTGGGAGAATCGCAGGACTGCGAGCCACTTTTCCTGACCAGGTCCGATGCAATCCTTTTCCGCCACTTCTACAGGCGTGGGAGCGCTCCTAATTACCGGCACCGCGGGCCATGAGGAACCGGCAATATTCACACCGCCGCGCCGGACGGCAGTCCAGCCCGGAACAGGCAGCCGACTGACTTTCGAGTCGTGTACTATGCCTCGTCACTCTCTCAGGCGCTTAGTCAAGCTGTCACGGCGCCGTTGCAGCCGCGTCTAATTCAATGCTCTCCTGAGAGATGGTTCATCATTCGGGCGTTCGCATCAGATAAACAAATAACCAAACCAACTACGAAAGCACCGTGCCATGTTGACATGTTTAGCATCAATCAGCAGGTATAAACAATAACCGCGCCGCCATGTTTACATGTTTACCATCAATCACAGCCGGTGAATAAGGCACAGAGGACCCGGAAACCAGCCAACGGACCCGGGTATCCGATATCAAACGGCCGCCGCCTGTCGGTCCTGTCGGACGGATCCTCCGACGGACCCGGCGTCCGCCCGAGCGTGACGTCACGTGCCGGAAGCGGTCTGTCCCGAGCGGCGAGCGGCGGCGCGGGCGAGCAGACGGTAACGGGGCCGGTCGGTCCGCTCAGCCGGCCCGCCGCGCCAGTCAGACAAACAGTTATGATAGACGTGCGTCCGTGTTTTACCAGAACGCACCGGCGCGCCCGTAATCGCTTCCGGAGCCGCGCATGTGTATGAAGAAACGGCAGCCGGCCTAGTTACGGCGGGCGCCGGGCGTGGCGGACTCACGAACACCGAAGACCGCCTCACGGCGCGGCGGTCGCGCGGCGGTAACGGACTGGAAACGAGACCGCTAGGTCGAGATTTGCTGGCTGTTTGTCACGGTGTTATCCAGAACATGGAGAGCAGATTCTGGCAACAAATGTTCAACACAAGAGTCGTGTTGAAAAATGGATTCAACGGACATTAACTCTCACCCATCTTCAGTCTGGAAAAGCTCGAAACACGCAGGACATTACCCAAAACAGGAAACGGTGCAAGGCAGCACCAATCTGAGCCTGGTATGACGAACATTCTGCTAAAGCAGATAAGCAAAGGAACTACTACACTGTCAAAAAACTAGCTGCGTGCACCCGGTGATTCAGAATCGGAATGACGTTGTATGCAGCCTTCCGTACCCGAGGTCTCATAATTTGTATTCTGTCGTATGCGCCTTTCCCGCTGCGTGTATGCGAGATCGTGGTATCCGTACCCTTCTAGTCACCTTCAGGTGTTTGCGTGGAATTCTCCGGCCTGCTCCTCCCACCACTGCGGCACTGCACGCACACCTCCACCTCCGCACAGACGGGCCCACATCCGAGTACCGAAACGGGCGGACGGCGCACTTTACCGTCCGAGAGAGGAGATGTAGCCGATTCGGACTGGTAAGACAACTAATCTAGTTTAACGTTTGTCCGTGCTGATAGTGATCACTTGATTAAACAAAAAGAAAATAAAAAAAAATTCACAAGAGAAGAAAAATACTTCCAGGCTTCCAGGGCGGGGGGGGGAGAAGCGGGTAGGTGAAGGACTTACTTTTCCAGTCGTCGCGGGTAGGGGACCGTCGGCTGACCGCAGGAGGTCACCACCGTTCCGAAGGTCGCGGCTCTCCGATGCATCCTCTCAGTCCAGGAAGTCATCCCACATGTCAACTGGAGACACACAGCAGATGCAGTGTCAGCTGGTATCAGCTGGGGTCGCGGACCGCGGGGCCCCGAACCCCTGGCAGATTTCCCTGTCGTTAACATTGTTACACGTCCCAGAACTGTCATTAGATAGTCTTAGGGCTGTGGTCAATAGTTGCAAGTCCGCAAGAAGTCAGAGAAATCGGTTCACGAAAGAAGTCGGTTCACATTCTTGCCCCAAGACCACCAGGTACAATGACATTTGACAACATTGATCTGACATCACAGCTCAAATGACAACAAATTGGTTTGCCTATTGCACACTCCCCCCCTCCCAAAAAAAAAAAAAAATGTCACCTTAAAGAGTCCAAGGGTCCAAAACTTGTCTGGATGTTTGAATAAAAATTAATGTTAAATATTTGCATACCAGCTACCCAAGTCATAAACTAAGAACTTCTCCTGGTGCCTTTTGCAGCTGATACCAAATTCTCTTTAGCTATTGGTTCAGTCCCTCCCTTGATTGCTGGCTCAAAAGTTACTCTGTTGTTACCATGCCAGAGTAAAAAGCACACACTATTCAGAAGCTTGAGTGTGATGAGTTTCACCATGCTAAAGGGAGACATTTAAAGAGAGATAAACTTTCAGTAGGCACTCTAAAAAAGATGAAGGATCAGCTCCAGAAGACTAAGAGAGCTTTATAATACTAGAAATAGCTGCAAGTAAAAAAGGAAAGAGGATAACCTTTCACAATAGGTACCTATAATTAGGTGCACCACTTGATATATGCCAAGCTAGTGTATGTTCATTATTCACAGCAGTTTTGCTTAAAACAAGCTGCCTGAAAAGGTAATCCAAAGAAAACTAGCACTTGCTCACTTAACTTCCTAATGGAATTAAAGTAACCAGATATCTTTAAATGAATAATTAGCTTAAAAAAGAGCAGCATTGCAGAAACAAATAATGTAAAATTGAAATGTAACTGCATTGCAATGAATAAAGTATTTAGCATCTTTTCATCTTGCTCTTCTATGCAAACAAGCTATTGAAAAAGTTCCAACCCTTTATAACAAGAATCCCGTCTTTTAATGAAAGAAGTAGGTAGGTATTGTACCTACCTAATTATAGCAAACATTCTGTAACTCTAACAACTAAGGAATTACCTAGGATTGAATTGACACAATACTGTTACAATGAAGATGGACAAAACAGCAATTCTGCAACTATACATGTCATTTGATAAAAAATAAGATGACTACATCAGCAAAAAGTGCAACGAACATGCTTCAATTGAATCAGATTTTGGTTACCAGACGTGTGTACAATTAAATCTGTCAAATTGATATGGCATACAAATACATCCACATTTATGGTCAAATATTGAATAAAAATCGAAAATGTTCACTGTACAATATTGACTCAATTGTTAGCAATCATACATACCTGAATCCAAAGCCAAATCGGTGACCCGTATTCATCAGACCGATCTTCAGTCTTGATGCCCGCCGCCCTTTCTCACTCGTCAATCCCCAACGAGACGACAGCTCAACAAAGCTATGTTATGCGTAGAAAATGCTCCAAAACTTATAATAAAGCAGATACAGATGTTATACCATCCACTAACGATATCCTAAGCTATGCCAGCCCCTCCCAGCACCGGGCCCAGAAAATCGATACCACTCTTTCATCCGGCAGCAGCTGCGCCGCCCTCACTCCGCGACGCCTCTTTCCACACAGAACCATAACAAACTTGTCGGCTAATGTGGTGTGCTAAAGCGCCACTGCTCGCTGACAAAATGGAAATCAAGGACAAAGAAATTCCTTTACTAAATTATTGCTATAGCAGGTTAAAGTGCAAACACTTACTTGAAAAATCAAAACAAATTTTCAAATATTATATGAAAACTAAGCGTATAAAAAACGTGAGATTTTGCTTTGGGAAATTTCTCACATGTTACTATATGTAATATGTATTATAAAATATTGCTCTTTTCCAGGATCTTCATTCTGACTGACCTGGTCACTTGCAACTTGCAAACGTATTTCCCTGAGGGCCTCATTTGAAAATGATTATAAATTTTTCTTACCCAGAAAAGCAAAAAAAGTTTTTTTTTTATTTCATTCACGTTACGGTCCAAGGGCGGACATCGATACAAGTGGCGCTACTCTAGCGGTAAATCTGAGAACTACTGACCGATCTCTGGTCATGTGACCTTGACCGGCTCCTGAGATTGGGGTCACGTGACACTCGGCCCGTCGGCGACCGCTCCGAGGCGAAAATTCAAGTTTGCAGTGGAACTTTGCATAGACGGACACCAATGACATATGATTCTAGATTAGCATTCGATACAGCGTTTAATTCTACACAGAATGACACTAAATTTAAGAGATTATCTGCCATCACTTCATCGCACTTTTTGTGGAACAGAAAGAATGTCGAGGCGACGTTGCATACTAACGCAATGGGAGCGTAGCAGGGCGGCGTGCGATATGTACGGATTTATTGCTTTTGCCAACAAGCGAGGCAATAATAAATTGAATCTAGAATGACATTTGGTACTAAATTTAACGGGCTATTCAATGCTACTAATTATTTGAAGAATTAAAATAACATCTCGTCGCAGATTTCAATTTGCTTACTCGTTAATATTTCCCAGGTTAGGTATGTACATACCTATTCGGCATTGCTCGTCTGACATTAACCTTCGAGTTTGCATCAAGTTTTCATGTTGATACGTACAATGAAATGTCGATTCTAGATGGCTTTTCAATAAAGTGCTCAATTCTACACAATATGGCACTATTGAAAAGGATAAATCTGCAATCCCTTCACCGCACTATTAGTGGAACAAAAGGATATTGCATATATTTGCGATGGGAGCGGGACGCCGCCGCGAACGATGCATGCTAATTGATTGTTGCCAATAAACAAAGGAATAATACGTTGGTTCCAGAATATTGTCCGGGAACACTTTTTACGGGCTTTCTAATGATACCGGGTATTTGAGGAATGAGAATGATATCTCGTCGCAGATTTTATTTTTCCTGCTTGTCTTTATTTGGAGGCCCATGGAGCACTGCTGGCCATACATAAGCTTTTATCAATTTGTATTGGCATGCACGATAAAATGTCGATTCTAGACAAGCATTCGATACAACGTTCAATTCTACACAGAATGACACCAAATTCGAGGGATTATCCGCCATCACTTCACCGCACTTTTTGTGGAACAGAAGGAGTGTCGAGCCGACGTTGCATTTTAATGCAATGGGTGAGTCCAGGGCGGCGTGCGATGTGTGCATATTTATTGTTTTTGCCAACAAGCAAGGCAATGGTGAATTCAATCTAGAATCATGTTGGGTTCTAAATTCAACGGAATATTCAATGCTGCTAATTATTTGAAGAATTAAAGTAACATCTCGTCGCAGCTTTCAATTTCCTTACTCGTTAATATTTCCCGGCTTACCTTTTCGGCATTGCTCGCCCAACAACCAATACCTTCGAGGTTCGCACCAAGTTTTCATATTGATGCGCAAAATTATGTGCAGATTCTAGATAGCTGTTTGATAAAGCAATCAATTCTACACAATATGGCACTGCTGAAAAGGATAATTCTGCTATCACTTCACAGCACTATTTGTGAAATAGAAGGATGTTTCGTCGTTTCGCGAGAGGAGTGGGACCCCGCCACGAACGATATATGCTACTCGATTGTTTGTTGCCAATAAACAAAGGAATAATACGTTGGTTCGATAATCGTCTCCGGTCCGGGAATACATTTTACGGGCTTTTTATTGATACCGGCCATTCGAGGAATGAGAATGATAACTCGTCGCAGATTTTATTTTTCCTACTTGTCATTTGGAGAACCATGAGCACTGCTGGCCATACCAAGCTTTTATCAATTTTTATTGGCGTGCACGATAAAATGTCGATTCTAGACAAGCATTAGATACAGCGTTCAATTCTACACAGAATGACACCAGATTCGAGGAATTATCCGCCATCACTTCATCGCACTTTTTGTGGAACAGAAGGAGTGTCGAGCCGACGTCGCATTTTAATACAATGGGTGCGTCCAGGGCGGCGTGCGATGTGTGCATATTTATTGCTTTTGCCAACAAGCAAGGCAATAGTAAATTCAATCTAGAATCATGTTTGGTACTAAATTTAACGGGCTATTCAATGCTACTAATCAATCGAAGAATGAAAATAACATCTCGTCGCAATTTTCAATTTGCTTATTCGTTAATATTTCCCAGGTTACCTTTTCGGCATTGCTGGCCTGGCAACAATAATCTTCGAGTTCGCACCAAGTTTTCATATTGATGCGCACAATGAACTGTTGATTCTAGATGGCTGTTCAATAAAATGCTCAATTCTACACAGCATGACACTACCGAAAAGGATAAATCGGCTATCACTTCTCCGCACTATTTGTGCAACAAAAGGATATTGCACATTTTGCGATGGGAGCGGGGCGCCGCCGGGAAATATGCATGCCAATTAATTGTTTGGTGCCAATAAATAATGGGATAGTGCATTGGTTCTAGAATCGCATCTGGGAACACATTTTACGGGCTATTCAATAATACTGATTATTCGAAGAATGAGCATGATATCTCGTCGCAGATTTCATGTGTCCTACTTGTCTTTATTTAGAGGCCCATTGGGCACTGCTGGCTATACATTCTTCAATTCTTCTATCAATTTCTTATGGACGTGCACGATAAAATGTCGATTCTAGACAAGCATTAGATACAGCGTTCAATTCTACACAGAATGAAATCAGATTCGAGGGTTTGTCCGCCATCACTTCACCGCACTTTTTGTGGAACAGAAGGAGTGTCGAGCCGACGTCGCATTTTAATACAAATGGGTGCGTCCAGGGCGGCGCGCGATGTGTGCATATTTATTGCTTTTGCCAACAAGCAAAGCAATAGTAAATTCAATCTAGAATATGTTGGGTACTAAATTTAACCGGCTATTCAATGCTACTACTCAATCGAAGAATGATAATAACATCTCGTCGCAGATTTCAATTTGCTTATTCGTTAATATTTCCCAGGTTACCTATTCGGCATTGCTGGCCTGGCAACAATAATCTTCGAGTTCGCACCAAGTTTTCATATTGATGCGCACAATGAAATGTAGATTCTAGATGGCTGTTCAATAAAATGCTCAATTCTACACAGCATGGCACTACCGAAAAGGATAAATCGGCTATCACTTCTTCGCACTATTTGTGCAACAAAAGGATATTGCACATTTTGCGATGGGAGCGGCCAGCGGGGCGCCGCCGGGAAATATGCATGCCAATTAATTGTTTGGTGCCAATAAATAATGGGATAGTGCATTGGTTCTAGAATCGCATCTGGGAACACATTTTACGGGCTATTCAATAATACTGATTATTCGAAGAATGTGCATGATATCTCGTCGCAGATTTCATGTGTCCTACTTGACTTTATTTAGAGGCCTATTGGGCACTGCTGGCTATACATTCTTCAATTCTTCTATCAATTTCTCATGGACGTGAACGATAAAATGTCGATTCTAAATCTAGACAAGCATTAGATACAGCGTTCAATTCTACACAGAATGACACCAGATTCGAGGGATTATCCGCCATCACTTCACCGCACTTTTTGTGGAACAGAAGGAGTGTCGAGCCGACGTTGCATTTTAATACAATGGGTGCGTCCAGGGCGGCGCGCGATGTGTGCATATTTATTGCTTTTGCCAACAAGCAAGGCAATAGTAAAATCAATCTAGAATATGTTTGGTAATAAATTTAACGGGCTATTCAATGCTACTACTCAATCGAAGAATGAAAATAACATCTCGTCGCAGATTTCAATTTGCTTATTCGTTAATATTTACCAGGTTACCTATGCGGCATTGCTGGCCTGGCAGCAATAATCTTCGAGTTCGCACCAAGTTTTCATATTGATGCGCACAATGAAATGTAGATTCTAGATGGCTGTTCAATAAAGTGCTCAATTCTACATACAACATGGCACTACCGAAAAGGATAAATCGGCTATCACTTCTCCGCACTATTTGTGCAACAAAAGGATATTGCACATTTTGCGATGGGAGCGGGGCGCCGCCGGGAAATATGCATGCCAATTAATTGTTTGGTGCCAATAAATAATGGGATAGTGCATTGGTTCTAGAATCGCATCTGGGAACACATTTTACGGGCTATTCAATAATACTGATTATTCGAAGAATGAGCATGATATCTCGTCGCAGATTTCATGTGTCCTACTTGTCTTTATTTAGAGGCCCATTGGGCACTGCTGGCTATACATTCTTCAATTCTTCTATCAATTTCTTATGGACGTGCACGATAAAATGTCGATTCTAGACAAGCATTAGATACAGCGTTCAATTCTACACAGAATGAAACCAGATTCGATGAATTATCCGCCATCACTTCATCGCACTTTTTGTGGAACAGAAGGAGTGCATCGAGCCGACGTCGCATTTTAATACAATGGGTGCGTCCAGGGCGGCGTGTGATGTGTGCATATTTATTGCTTTTGCCAACAAGCAAGGCAATAGTAAATTCAATCTAGAATCATGTTTGGTACTAAGTTTAACGGGCTATTCAATGCTACTAATCAATCGAAGAATGAAAATAACATCTCGTCGCAGATTTCAATTTGCTTATTCGTTAATATTTCCCAGGTTACCTTTTCGGCATTGCTGGCCTGGCAACAATAATCTTCGAGTTCGCACCAACTTTTTATATTGATGCGCACAATGAAATGTAGATTCTAGATGGCTGTTCAATAAAATGCTCAATTCTACACAGTATGGCACTACCGAAAAGGATAAATCGGCTATCACTTCTCCGCACTATTTGTGCAACAAA